CGTAGGTTGAAAAGTCCGTAAGTGGAGCCGACTGCTGCTGACAGTGATTGAGCTGCAGTTAAAGTAATATCAGTCTCTCAACTGAACGGTAGATCCTTCTCCAGAAGGTAATCCTTTCAGTGATAATGTGCAAATGTCACTCTAAAATGTAGTAAGCCAGCCCTGCTATGGGGGGGGGGGCGGGGGGCTGGAATGTCCTGTTCTTTTGGCTGTGTGGGTTCTGGATGACTGACCAAAAGTCCTATTATGATGGAATCCGTGATAGTGAACACTCATGCTGGTTGCCACAGGTATTGATTTCCTTATCTTTCTGTTTCTGAAATTTTGATTCCATAAAGAAAGGTGTCTTTCCCCATATACCTTTCTCTACCTCTGTATATTTTATGATTTTTTGTGAATTTCCCAGTTCAGACTCTTGTCATGCCACAGAAAGCCATTTTGAGCATATGTATTTAAAGGGAGTACACATACAGAGTATTTATTTATTTAATTTATTCAATTTATACCCCACCCATGTAGACTGAAGTCTACTCTGGGCAGCTAACAACAATGCATAAAAGTAAACATAATATATTAAAATAAAAAAATGTAATAATATAATTCAAGATGGCAAAAGAAATTAGGTGATGACAAGAGGGAAAGCCAGGTCTTAAGTTTGGTCTTAAAAACACCCAGTGATGGCTGTGGGCAGACTGTTCCATAGGTGAGGGGTCACTGCCAAGAAGGCCCAGTTTCTTGTTCTTTCTCTCCAGGCCTCCCTCGGCATTAGGACCCTCAGCCGCCCGTCTTCGTTAGAACGAGTGATTCAGGTAGATCTAGGTGGGAGGAGGCATTCCACCAGATATCGAGGTCCTAAACCGTTTAGGGCTTTATATGTCATCACTTTGAAATCAATGCGGAAACGAATGGGCAGCCAATGCAGGGCAACCAGAGTGGGGGAAATATGCTGATATTTTCTCACCCCAGTAAAAAGTCTGGCTGCCGTGTTCTCCATCATTTGAAGCTTCTGCATCAATCTCAAAGGTAGCCCTATGTAGAGCGCATTACAGTAGTCTAATCTTGAGACTACAAATCCATGGACCAGAGTAGTGAGCGCCCCAACATCCAGAGATGGAAATAGGCAGATCGGACCACTGATGCTACCTCAGTTTCCATGGTGAGCGCTGGATCCAGATGGACCCCAAGCTGTGAACCTTACTCTTTGCGCTGATAGTCACTCCCCAAAAGAGAGGGAGTTTCCCAAACCACCAATGGAGGGTCCACCCACCCTCAGGACCTCCATCTTGTCTGGGTTTAGCCTCAGTCCATTCTCCTGCATCCATTGCTGTAGAGCCTCCAGGCAGTGCTGAAGGGACGGAAGGGCATCCACTGTGGTTAGAGAAAAGGAGAAGTAGAGCTGGGTGTCATCAACGTACTGATGACATAAAGCCCCACACCCCTGTTGACCCCACCTAGCAGCCTCATAGATATTAAACATTAATTAATACATTCTGTATTACAAAAACTATCAACAATTGTTAAATAGTGCTATATAACGCCTCCAAAGCCCATGCATATTTTTCTCTACTGTTACAGAAAAAAGGTGAGGAAACAGAGCCAGTTTGCTTGAGGCAAGACTTCAAATCTGACATCCAAGTTCATTGTAGAAATTACCTATAGGATTGTTTCTGGCCAATTCTTCAAAAACCCACCGAAAAATCCTACATCTCCTTTTGCTCCCATCAGCAGAAAGCTGTCTTTTACAATGCTCTCAAGATATTCTTAGCACTGATGCCAATTGATATCCATGATGACTATGAAAAGTAGCAGACACATACTACCTACTGTCATATAAGGGACCCATACAAATTCCCCATGAGTGAGCTCTATATTGGGAATGGATGTGTGTAGAGAAACTGTCCTACCTTGAGTCAGACCCTTGATCCATTTAGCCCAGAGTTGCTAACACTGACAAACGGCAGCTCTCCGGGGTTTCTGGAAGGGGTTTTCTCTGTTAAATCTGGGGAGGTCAGGACTGAGACAGCCAGACTCTGCCTGGGAGGCATGGGCTCGGTCACTGCTTTGTGTCCCTTTTCAGTTTTTTGTTTCTGGAAGCAATGCCAAAGCATATTTGTTTTTTTACACTCCCAGCCTTGGATAAAATTCCAGTTGTGCATTAGAATTCTATTGGAATTGAAACCCATGTTTGAAAGCAGGTGTCTTTTTCTTTGCTTCTTTTGGCTTTTCAGGAGATCAGTAGGCTTTTGACCTGATTCAACATGGCTTTTCATGTTTTCTTGTGACCTCCTGAGAAGTGATTTTTTCCTGGTCAAAAATACCCTGGAAATACTTTGATTACTTTATGACTAGAATGTTAGTTACCATAGTCTCTCGAGACTGAAGGATGCTTAATCAATAAATCAGAATGTTAGAAATATTTCAGTGTAGTTTCGGTGTTTCATGGCAAAAAAAGTGACATGGTAGCAAAACAAAAACTATATCATAATTTCTTTTTAAGGTTGGAGTTGAGAACATGGGTAGTTGTTTAACATGATTTTGGAAGTGGGGAGGAGAAAGCATGGGAGTACCAACAATATCTGGATTAAACTGCAGTAAATATGCATAGAAATGTACATGTAATTTAATTAACATAGAAAGGAAGAGATTTTGATGTAATATGTTTAAATCACAGTTTTGTGATCATTTGAATTTAATAAGTGTTTCTGAGCCCTTGCTGATACAGTTATTTTGTTTTGGATTTTTCTTTAAAGTTATAACATACCCTGGGACATTTCAGGGAGGCTTACTCAATTACAGTGGTGCCTCACACAACGATGTTAATTGGTTCCAAAAAAAATCAACGTTGTGTGAAACATCGTTCTGTGAAACACCATTTCCCATAGGAATGCATTGAAAACCGGTTAATCCGTTCCAATTGGAACGGATTGCCGTCTTTAAGTGAAAAAACCCATAGGAAACATTGTTGAGTGAAAC